GGGGGGGGGGGGGGGGGTGGAAGATTATAAACAATTTCAACACATTTTGTCCCCTCTCTCTACAAAGTTTTGAATGGCGCCTAAGAATTTTCGATGAAAAATGTGACATTATTAACGAATGTATTTGTAAAAACAGCTGACAGCTTCTTATTATTAATATTTGTTTGTATATATTCCTTGGGAGTTTCTGGGTTTTTTGTTTTTCCCTTTTTATCACATTTATCCACATCCATCTCTTCACTGGTCTTTTCTTCTTTCATCTTAATCTTGTTTCCTCCTTTCCTCGGCATACCAAGGATACCTGGGGTCTTTGTTTTTTACCTAGACACTAGAATTGTTGGTTCAATACTGAGAAAGTGAGAAACTATTGTTGCAAACTCAGGGGAAACTCGGTAAACGTCATAATCAGAATATTTATTTATAAAATATAACAAACACACAACTCCACTTTTAAATGCAAAAAAAGGGGACCGGGAAACGGACTAATTGTAAAAAATTGCCTTTAAAAATGTTTTGATGTTTTTCGACAATTTTACATAATTACGTCAAAATCATTCACCCCCCCCCCCCCCTTAATTCAATAAAAAGGGACAGTGTAAGGAATAAATTAAAAACATTTCTTTAAGAAAACCGGTTTGTTGGGTATTTTTGGAAAATTTTACTGTAACCTTTCTTTACGCATCAATATCTTTCACATTCCTTCTTTTTTATGTTTTAAGCAGAGACAGAGGAATAACGGAGTGAAAAAAAAATTAAGAAAACCATTTCGTTTCATTACACGTTTTTCGGAAATTTTATTGTAAATATTTATAACTACTCAAAATCCTTCATATTTCTTCACTTTTTTATGCAAAACCGGGGACCGAGGAAAGAACTGACTAAGTCAAAAACCCTTTTGTTTCTTGTTTAATTTTGTCAGAATGTAACATTTCTAAACCTTTTTCTGGCTAACCTTATTTATAAATTTTTAGATTTTTATTTCTACATGTCACCAAAAATCTTTTTTTTAAAATTTAGCTCGTAAATAATATTATAATATGTTCACTATTCAGTAAGAAGATTCACCTGGGCATTTTATGCAATCTTCATTTTCTGAAATAAAATATATGAATTATTTATAATAGTAAAATAGTTTTCATTTCAAGATAAATATTAGGTAAGTACGTAACATGTATGCATAATTATAAAAACTTCCCAAAACATGATTTAAATATTATTTGATATCTTTTTTAAAAATCAGTGTGATGCAACAAAATAAGGGGGTTCAGTTCAACATTTTCATTGTGCTAAACATTCAATAGAAACAAATATTTAGAAGGTTAATTAATAAATTCCATGCTTCAAAATATATAAAAAACGGATTGAGACTGACAAAAATGGAATTAAAAAGACATCAAAATACAAGCATTTATAAATTATATCAGATCTAATCTAAAACAGATTACAATGGAATGCAGCATTAATATAAATAAGATTGTGCCCAACAGGAGGAAGAATTAGGAAATGCGTATTTTATGTACAATATAATAAATTAATAGTAAATATGCCATCGCGGATGAACCGCAAATTGTAAGCCCCCCCCCCCCCCTAAAAAAACCATCGGATTTGTTTTCTTGATACTAATTCCAGACCTTAAAAATCCTAAGGCGTCTAAAAGGTTTTATATTTACATCTGCATGTTTAGACCTTAATGTTTTGGACACTTGACACGTGATAAGTACGATGAAAATAAAAATGTTAGGGTAAAGAGAGCTGATTCATAAACCCGGTTTGGAACTTATAAAGGTAGATGAACTAGGTAGGGATAGTTAAACTTCTTCTATACTGCCTATCTAGCCTAATACATTTGTTGAACTAGCAATATCTGTAAAAATGCCAATCCCTTTTAAAAAATTCCGAACTTAGAGCGAACGCATCTATTTTGACTAATACCAATGTTCAAAGCACAATCGACTTGTATTTTAAATTAAAAAGATGTTTGGTAAAATTTGCTTCTTTTATCATGTATTTGCAAGATAAGCCACATCCAGATAATCTACATTTACTACAATCAAGCATGTAAAATAAGCAGCAAATTATTGAATAAACCACAAATTAATTGATTACTTATGAACAGATTATAAAAAGGGTTTTAAATGCATTAATAAAGGCTGGGGAGAAATAACTTTACTATAATTATGAAGCTAATAAAACCAATTTATAAATAAATTCTTAAACTTAAAAACTAAAAACTTTGAATTTAAAATAAGCATAATATATATATATATAAAAAAATCTGAATATAATTATAGGATGTTTTAAACTGATCTCTATAATTTATGAGAAAATCGAATAGCTGAAAATCAGAGTAAATCTAGTTTTAAAGAGTAGAGAATCAAATAAGAAGAAGACAGACCAGTACCACACAGTTGCTCTTAGAGAGCTGACAAGATAAAGACAAATATCTTATAAAATTAAATAGAAATAATATTTCCACTTTTTGGAACAAATGTAAAGAATAATTAATCACATAGTGTACATGTAACGTGGGTTAAGGGAATTTTTGAAAAATCAAGCTTAAGGACAATGAATGGAGAACCAGGTTAGTAGATAATCGGTGAAAAATCCGGCTAGTGGATAATGGAAGGAAAATCAGGCTAGTGGATAATGGATGGAAAACCAGGCTAGTGGATAATGAGTGGAAAATCAAGCTAGTGGACAATGGAAGGAAAATCCGGCTAATGGATAATGGATGGAAAATCCGGCTGGATGATTATGAATGAAAAATCAGCCTTGTGGATTATGGATGAAAAATCAGGCTAGTTGATAATGGATGGAAAATCAGGCTAGTGAATAATGGATGAAAAATCAGCCTAGATGATTATGAATGAAAAATCAGCCTAGTGGATTATGGATGAAAAATCAGCCTAGTGGATTATGGATGAAAAATCAGCCTAGTGGAATATGGATGAAAAATCAGCCTAGTGGATTATAGATGAAAAAATCAGGCTTGTGGATAATGGATGGAAAATCAGCCTAGTGGATAATGGATGAAAAATCAGACTAGAGCAGCAGATATCTGTTCTAGAATAGCAGCCAGGAGCTCCTTATTACTCGACCTACCCTCGACCACGAGGATACCAGGATTCAGCTTTACTAGAAAGGCGAGCTGTGTTCCAGTACAGGAAATACCGTACATAGATGCTGTTGTACCCTGCTGTACATCCACCTGATACAGTCCTAGTCCTACCAGCCGGGGCAGTACGCTCTAAACAATTAATGGGACTGTAAGCGTAATTTCAAGTGATCCTTCATGCAAAGATGGCAATGCCGGATTCACTACCGTAACCATAACAGCTTTATCTGATCAAGTATAGATTAATAAATAGACGTGCACGTATTTGTTTCTTTAAACTGTTCATTTTAATTTTTGGTTTCTTTGCAAAAGTGTCTTACGCATTTCTTACTTTTAAGAAACAATTCAGAAATTCACAGAAAAAAAACTCTTTAAGAATCCAAAAACGAAGTTATCTTTCACATTATCAGATTAAGGCTTCAAAGGTACTGTTGTAAATCGGTCATTGCCATCTTTGCATGAAGGGTCACTTCAAATTACACTTACAGTCCCTTTAAGTTTTTAAGAGTTACAATATAAGAGTTCTCGATCAATCAATCAATCAAAGGTGTTGGATATTAAAGCCGAGTAAGACTTCCAAAAATTCTTTTCTAAATCACTTGAAACTGTAAAATTGAGTAAGAAGGCGGGAAAGCAAGACAGAGAGAATTAATCAAAAAAAGAGAAGTGAAACTTCTTCAGAATTAAGAAAAAATTGAGAGGCTTAAAATCTTAACAAAAGAAAAACAATGACAAAATATTGTAAATCAACCGGAAATGTAAAAATTATGTTTTATACCTTAATCGAATATTCTCCGTGTATGCTAGCTGAGAGCATAAATGCAAGCTGACCGCTCATCAGCAGCTCAGCCATCTGCTCAGTATCAGAAGCTGCTCCGGTCAACCATGCAGTAGCTGGTAAGGTTAAACTAAACTCTAGCTTTCTCTCTTTCTTTAACCTGTAATCCAGGATAGCAGGGATACTGAGAATCATCTCTCCTTCTACCGGAACCACAACGGTTTTCGTCTTCTCCTCTCCGGGCTTCAGAGATTTAGTCAAAGAATATTCATCGTTTAGAGTCAGATTTAACTCCTTGCATTTATCGTCTCCGAGGTTGGTTATTGTTAGAGGGACGGAGCATGCTCCATTGGTTACCTTGCACTCCGAGGGGGAGTAGGATACTTGAAGGTTTTCATCAGAGCAGAGAACTTGGCTCAGCTTTACTAATCCCGTTCCAGGCTGCTCAATCTCCTGCTCCTTCTCATCCTCATCCAACCCAAGGAGATCCTGCTCCCTCTCCTGTTCCTTCTCCTTCTTCTTGGACTTCTTCTTCTCCGTTTTGTGCTTTTTCTTGAAGGTTTTGTGCTCCACAAGAGGTGTTTCCCCACTACTATTCAGCAACTCAAACCCACTGAAGTAAAATCAAATTAAAGAATTAATTCCAAAACACTATCTTGGTAACCCGGTGTTGGCTGGAAACTGAAGTAAACCCATTCAACTTATAACTATCAAACAAAGCAAGCACATTCCCAAAGTTCTAACGAGTCCCCAAATCAAAATTTGAGGCAAGTCGGTCAAGGGTTCACCGGCTATAATAGAGATTACTACTTAGTATTTACCCGTTGTTCTGTATCTCCACTAGGTCTGAATATCCTTTCTTCTTGTCCTTCTTGGACTTGTCCCGAGTAGGTTCAAGATCCTATAAAACATTCAAAATAAGTTAAATTTTCCTACCCTCCGTACTCTTGCTGTCAAGATAGATAGATTTAAAACCGTTTAAAATATACGCTAAGTTATTTAATAAATAGTTAACTAATTCAATATACAGAGCGTCCCATATCATATTAGATTATCTCTAATCTTTAACGACAAAATAAACCCTTAATACTCGAAAAACTTATCATTTTCCGCAAGAAAATTCTTATATAAGCCTTATGTTATTTTTCAAATTGATTCATTCTAATTAAATTTTCTCATTAGTCCCGAAAATCGCAATTTAGACCCGTTGACGGTCAAATATGATGTGGGACAATTAATTTTAGTTCTTTCAAGAAATTCGGTGATCATAAATTATTAACGAGCTTGATTAAATACAACTATTATTCTTTCTAGTTCTATCTTTCTGATAGTTTTACTACAGGGCTACCCACAATGGATGAGAGAGAAAAGACGATTTGAAACTCTTCAATTATGACAAAACCAAGTTGAAATAAAGTCTTTTGCCTTGAATGTGGTCTTTGAATGGCTTATTTAATGATTTGGCAAAAAGAGAAAAAAAAAATAATTGCCTGGAATAATAAAATTAAATGTAAGGAAACAGAGAGTATAAGGTCCGAAGAAAGTATAAATTCGGAAAAGTTGTCTCTGAAGTCTCATCCTTTGTGGGTAACCCTGTACTTATCTAGTTTGGTCAATACAACTATTTATATACTTTTCATAAAATCCATTTTAGGATTTTTAAATCAAATCAAATGAGACTTTCAGGGACTTGATATGTCCTACAGTGTTAAACGATTATATCCATACTATGAAGACGACTTTTTGTAAAAAGTTTTTATTGTTTACAAGTAATCAAAGAGAAGTTTTTTAATTGACAGCCTCTCTTGACTTCTTTGTTTATTTTCTTATACCACTGTATGTTAAATCCGACTTTAGTAAAATTGGATCTGAGGATTGATTGCGAATACCTCTAAAGATATCTGTGCGAGTGCACTATGCGGATCTAGAGGATCAAACTGATCGTCATCTAGGTCGGATACACTAGCACCTAAACAAACAATTGACTGGACATCTTTATTTATTATCATTTTTTCTTAGTTTTTAGTTATAGTTAAACTTCACATTTTTATTTTTCATATCAAATCAAATGAAATGAGATGAAACTCCAAAACCTCAATGTGACTTAACTAAATCAGGTCTTAAGAGAGGTATTATATCTTGCAATTAATTTATATTACTGTTGGTTAAGACAGAGATTTAGTTAGGCATTGACAATACTTGCGGAGTCTTGTTTTTGAAAATAATTTTTTTATTTACACCATCTCCCAAACTTTGTAAACTTTGCATCTTTATTAATCTAAAATTTTCAATATTTTATCAAAGTTAACAATTAAAAAAAAATTATTTCTACGGGTTAATGTATGTATTTAATTAGGTGTCAAAGGTGTTGCAAGAAATTGTAAAAAATCCAAAAATTTGAACAGAGCAATACTTAAGTTTTATATTTAAAATTGTTTTTTTTTTATTTGAACTTGTGTTTACCTTCAGGCATCTCTAGGTGCTTTGAGACTGCAATATTAGGTTCATCATCCTCGCTACTGCTCACGCTAAAATAAAAAATGAAAATACAAAGATAGAGAATATCAGGTCCCTTTACAATGTTCGCTTTTTGGACACCCCCCCCCCTTCTACATCC